TGGTGTTTATCACGTGTCGATGTGCACGTAGCTACCGACTTCTTGCACTTCTTTGCCGTCAGTGAAGACGGTATAAGCGGGACACTGCCCGTTGCACATTCATTCCTCTTGAACTTGTTCATCTCTCGACCGATGGCGCGTGACTCCTTCTCCAACCGCACAATCTTTGGCTGGAGTTCAGTCGGTTCTTTGACAAAGACGATGGCGTCGGCTGCTAGAAGCATTTGGGTGAGTCGTTCTCCATCGATGCTAATTCCGCTGTTCCGCTTAGACCGTTGAAGAAGAATTCGACACCAGCGCCGTCGCGAAAAGCCTAAGAAATACAGTGCCCTCCTTGACGAACTCCTCTTTAGATGCTGACTCGACACGGTGCTTCAAGTTGCTTGGTGTCGGTTGCGGTATCAATACTCAATTTCTCGATCGTCTTGATGTAGACAGGGTTGATACCGCAGTCGTAAAAGGCGTTCAATATAGTACTCAGCTCGGTGGAATCGAACGAAGTCGCTGCATACGCAGAAGAGGGAAATTTGTATTCCTGCTTCTCTGTCAATCGCTTCACAATGTGGATGTGGTCTGTGGTGGAGAAACTGGCTTGTTCTTTACTGGCGAGCAGTTGCCGGTCCTTCTGGATACGGTTGAGCGTGATTTGGGTTAGGGGAGCCTTGTAGCAGAAGAGTAATGGATCAGTAGTTCTAAAAGTCTTCACCGTTCTTGAATTCAAGGATCATCGAAGAGTTATTTTATGCTCTTTGCATCTTTTCCAGCCTAAGGAAGGGTTGTGAACAAATTCATTTCTTCTGACCTAGCATATTCCGTCATTGCCAAGATATCTTTGTATCTTCAGGTATTTTTGTCTGCCTACTCTGCCTTGTTCTAAGTGACATAGGAAACGGTTTCGGGGACAACGTGCAGCAGCTTGCGCTTTATCACTGTCTTAGAGGAGTAGAGGTAGAGAAGGTCAGCCAGATCAGATATATTGATTCCGTCATCCTCATCAGTGATGTCTGTCCGTTTTACTTTCGACAGTCTGCTGACAAATTACAACTGATTAAAGGTCATTCTTAGTTTACATAGTTTTACCCTCACCATAATTACGTCATTGAGGTCATATGTCGTGAAGACAGTCTCTATGACGAAACAACAAGAACAAGAGTTGAACAGCGGGCTTGACAGCGGATTTAAACGTGTAGCGACAGCTACACAAAATGATGATGTAGGAAACGCTTCCAAGCTTTTCCGCGCGGGGAGGGGGTTGAAATTCGGTAAAGTAGATCGACCCCCTTTTAGACAAATTAAGAATGCCCATTTCTTTGTATTCTAATTCTATTGCGCATAACCATTTCAGTAGAAACCAAAACATGGAAGACATCGATGAAGTGACCAAAATTGCACGAATGAGGCAAGGGTAGATATACCGAGCAGGCTAAAGACAGGTCAAAGATGAACCGTTCTTTGTTTCGTGTGGCCATCCACATTTTAGTTTCGCAAAGATGAGAATGCGTTGGCATCCCGGAGCATAGACGATTTGCAAATTTAGCCATTGCCACAACAATTCCTCTTGCACGAAAGTACAATATGTAGTGGTAGCTCATGAACTATCCGTGAATTTAATGCCTGTGGGAGTAGGCAGGTATGGGCATTTTCCATTTACTGAAATTGCTCTCGCCTGAGTGCCATAAATAACCGCTTATCGATAGTGAAAGAAACAAATACATGCAACCGTAAACCACGAAGAAATATCATGTTGTAAACTAACGTAATTATGTAATGGACTTTCCACGAGAAACCCGAACTATATTTAGTAATTATTGCAACATCAAAACATCAGTAGATGTCAAGAAAAAATAGGTTTTTAGAATGAAATCGGTCGTTGCTTTTGCTGCAAGGGGATTGTGGCAGTTAAGGTGAAAAAAATTTAAAAAACAAAGAATCATTGAAGAAACGTACCAGGTAAACCGCTTAAAAAACATATTTTCCATTGTTGTTCACCCGGTGCTATCTTCAGAATTTGCTGTTCTCTCGGCCGTTTGACAGCACGGGAACACAGGGACCCGCAAGCTGTACGTAAGAGTTGTACATGATGATTCTTAATGTCATGATACTGTATAAAAAGTGAACTGAGCTGGCGATTTGTTTTTAGATTACTAAAAAAAATAAGTTTTAAGGTTTTATTTTTTTTGTTTTATTTTCTGTTTTGTTCATAAAAGACCGTTTAAAGACGATTACGTCAAAAATTCTCTAAATAAGTTCTGGTAAAAGTGTCTAAGACTCCGGTTGGAGTATTATCCCAAATTCTACCGTAACACGAATCTGTGATTCACTGATGTTCTGGTCTGGAATCAAGGATTTTTTGTATGATTATGTCACGATGGAACAGGTCGTGATCAAGAAACAAATTTAAATACAGTGTTACCCTAAGATAGCGTGATCAAAAGGTAGCCGAGTATGATTCTCTTCCCTCTTTCTGTGTTGCTGTTACGTGAAGGGTTGGCTCTCCTTTCACAGAGGTAACTTATGCATTACTGCTAATTTGGTCACGTTTCTCTTTGCGCCGAGGAAGGGCAGCATTCAGATAAGGAAATAGAGCTGTTTACTCTACGGTGAACCAAGGTTTAAAGCCGTCGTTGGCCATGACGAAAGAAGATAGTCAGAGTAGCTAATACAAACGGAAGCGAGAAAGTTAGTTCAAGCAAATATTTTGTGGCACGTTGATTAAAGATGAATTAGCGGAAG